TGTTTTTTGTATGATGAAGCTTGTTGTTAGTAGAGATGGTAAAATTTATATAGAACGATTGGCGTGGGAGTTAAGTAGAGTATTTGATTATTAAACGATTTTGGATGGAAATGTGACTGTGTGTTGGGTTATTGTTCAGGTTATCACTTAATATATTCTATGTTGTATCAATCTTTCTGAGTGGGTTTTTTTTTACTGTTTTACTCATTGTCTCGGTTTGGTTTTTTTCTTTTTGTTTTATTTTGTCTTTATATATGCTTATCTCGGATTATTTTGGTGGCTTTTGTTTCTATAGGTTTTTCTTAATATTATATGTTTGGGTGTGTTGGTTTGGTTGTTTAGGGTGTCGAGTTTTCTATTTTATGTCTTTTTGTTTTGGCTATTTTGGGGTATTGTTATTTTTGGTAGTGTGTAGTTGATTTTTTTTGGTTTTTGTTGTGTGTTTGTGGTGTGTTGGTGTTTTTCTATAGTTTCTAGTATTTATATGTCTATGTTGTTGTTCTTTTGTATAGGTTTTTCTTGATTTCTGAGTGCCATTCATTGTATTCATTTCTATATTTTGTTGTTCATACGGGTTTTTTGGCTTTATTTGTTCTCTTGGGTGAGGTGTGGTTTTGTTTGTTGGTCGCCTTAGCGTGGTGTGTTTGGTCTGGATTAGTCGTGGTGTAGTTTGTCGGTTTGTAGTGGGCGGTTGGGTGTACTCTTATTTTTTTTTTCTTTTAGTGTCTTTTTGTAGTGTTGTAAGTGTGTCCCTTTTTGGTTTGGAAGTTTTTGCTAGTCTGGGTTTTGTGTTTGTGTTTTTTTGGGTCACTGGTTTGTTTTGTTTTTGTTTTTTTTCTAAGCCCGATTTAGGGTGTATTTCTTTTTCTTCTATTATGGGTATGGTTGGAGGATGCTGTTAAGTTCTTGAGGAGGGAGGAGGTGAGGCTCTCTGCCCCCGCAGGAATTTTTTGTGGCTGTTTGTTGTTGTCTGTAGTCATTGGCGTAGTGTGTGTTGTTTTTTTCTTTTTGTTGGTTTGTTTGAGGTTTGTTTTGTTGTTTTGTTGTCATCGTTTTACGATGTTTTTGGGTGTGTGTGGGTTGGTTGGTACTTTTTTTTTTTGGTTTGTTTTGTTTTTTTTTTTTTTTCTTTGCGTTTGTCTAGGTATTTTTTTGGGTTATTGATAGTGGTGAGTGTGTGTGTTCGGTGTTTGTTTTGGTTGGTATGTTGAGTTTGTCGGTTGATTTCTTTGTGTTTTGCCTGTTGTGGGGTTTTTTGTATGTTAGGATGTGATGTGGTTGAGTTTGGTGGTATGGGTGTTTTGGAGTTTGGTTGTATGTTAGTCGGGTTTTGGGTTGTTGGGATGTTGGTGAGTGGAGAGTTGTTTTTTTTGGGATGTTTTTGTAGTGTAAAGGGATTAGGGTTAAGGGGTGGTGATTTTTTTGAGTTGTTGTTCTTGTTGTATGTTGGTTTATTTGGTTTGTGAGAGAGGTGAGGGTTGTGAGAGTGGGAGTGTTTTGTATGTGTTATGTTTAGGGAGGGAGGAGAAGTGTGGTAAGATGATTGTGAAGTTGTTGGGGTTTGTGGTTTTGGTTGGGGAGAGTTTTGGGTGTTTTGGATTGTTGTTTATGTGGGATATTATTGTGGTGAGGAGGTTTTGTTTTTGAGAGGGGGGGGATGATGGAGTGGGTGTAGGTAGGGGGGAGGTAGGATATTTGGAGGAGGGGAGGGGGAGGGATTGTTAGTATGTGAGATGAGGGTGTGGTAATGTTTATTTGTGTTTGATTTTTTTTATAGGGTGTGTGTATTAGTTATAGGGTTTTTTTTTTGTTATTTTTTTTTATTGGGTGTTTTAAGTAGGGAAGTGGTTTAGGTTTTTGGTTATGGTGTATTTCGATGGGGGGTTTTTTTGATGGCGGGTTCTGTAGTGTGGTGGAGTTGGGAATGATGAGAAAGTAGTGAAATAGGGTATAGGATTGGTTGGGGGTATGGGAGGGGTATTGGGAGGTATGGGGTAGGGGGTGAGGTGTGTGATGGGAGGGGGGACAGGAGAGGGATGTGAATGTTATTATAGGTAGGAGAGGGTGAGGGGAGAGAGTGGGAAGGAAGAGAAGAGAATGGGTGCGAGATATGGAGCAGAGGATTGTACAAAGAAACGTGAACATCGCCTTGTCAGTAATGATGCACTAAGCATTCTTTGGTGTGTATGGTTTTGGTTTTGGGGGTGGGGTTTCCCCATCCACACCACAAACACCCACTCCATCTTGGTTGGTGTTTGGTGGGCTATGGTGAGTTGCCAAGCGATTTCCTTAACCACGGTGTGTCGAGGTTGTATTACTGGGTGTTGCGGCGGGGGGGTGTTTGTGTGGGTGGGTTTTTGGTGTGTTGTTTTTTGCTGTTTTTTTTTTTTTTTTTGTGGGTTGTGTTTGGGTTTTGGATGTTGTTTTTGTGTTTAGTTTGCTTGGTTTTTTTTGTTTTGTTTATTTTTTTTCTTTGTTCTTTTTTTTTGTTTTTGTTTTTTTTTTTATTTTTTCTTTTTGTTTTTTCATTTTTTTTTTTTTTTTCCGTTTTTTTCTTAGGTGTTCACTTCCGTACTTTTTAGTCTCTTTCTTTCTGCCATGTTTTTTGTCGTTTTCTCCTGTTTGTTCTCCTAGGTTCCCCTCCACCCACCTTCATCCTCCTGTTCCCACCCCTGCGCCACCCACCCACGCTCCTCTTCCCACCCCTCCCACTCCCTCTTCTTACCCACCGGCCCTCCATCCACCTTCCTCCGCCTCCCACCACACCTCGTCTCCCTCTTGTCGAGACCCACGGCCGCCCGTCACTACCCCACCCTTCCCATGTCTCTAAACCTTTGGATCTGAGAAGGTGCATTTCTTCACATCCGAGTCGAGATGGCGGTCTTGAATATTTTCATCGGTAAACAAGGTGGAAATTCTTGGATCCCTAGGTCGTGTCGTCGCCCATAGAAGCCGAGTCGGCCGGGAGTGCGCTGAGCGAAGGGAGAGGGAGGCAGACGGAAAGAGGGGATAGTAAAGAAAGAAGGAAAGGTTTCGGTAGAGAGATGAGTTGGGCGTACTGGCGGTAAAGCTGGAGAAGAATGCATGTAGCGGAGAGGTGTTGAAAGGGAGAGTGATGGAAAAGCGGTTAGGTGAGATTTTTAGGTGTTGTGAGACAAGGAGAGGGTTTTTTTTTTCCTTTGCTTATGCGCGAAGGAATGGTTGAATGATGTAAGTGGATCTGTAGAAATGTTGAAAGTGAGAAAAGGCTTGATTGCTGGAAAGGGAGGGATAGATAAGAGATAAAGTTGTGATTAGGAAATAGGTGTGTATCAAGTAGTTATTTTGCTGTTGAGGTAAAATTTTTGATGAGAGTTTTATATATGTGGGTTTAAATGTGAAAGGGAGGTAACGTATAATAATAGGGAGAGGAGGGGAGGAGGGAGGGGGGGGGAGGAGGGGAGGAGAGGAAAGGGGGGTGGGGGGCAGGGGAGGGGGGGAGGAGGAGGGTGGAGAGTGGCGGTTAGGATAGGTGGGCTGGGGGGGGAGGAGTTTGGTGGGACTCGTGGCGGTCTCGCTGGATGTTGGGGAAGTCGGGTTTTTTGTGAGGTCAAAAGCGGGATGAAAACCGTGGCACTATGGGGGCGCAGATTGTCACGAGAGATGATAGGGGTATGGAGGGGGGCAGGGGGGTTGTATTATCGGAGTTGTGGTTTTCTCCTAATATTTCTTTATTTCTCATAACTATGCATCTTTCATCGAACTTACAGTATTACGAACCTATAGCTAACCCTAACTACATCACAATTACTCCTTTTTTGTTTTTGTTTACGTTATCTTGGAATATACTTGCGCATTTACTTCCTTACTTGTGATATTGCTTACGCTTGATGTCAATGCTGTTTAGTGTTCGCACGTATATGATTGTTATGTTACTCGTTATACCAATCTTTATATGTTTTCACGTCAATTATATCGTCTCTTATGCATCTTATTACCAATCCAAAATACTCACTGTACATCCCTATTTTATCGATCTATATACTCAAATACATATGCCTTTATTATATTCAATTATTTACCTTTCACTATCAACTCTATGTTTGCTCACTGATTTTTTTTAGTTTTAGCTTACTCAATACTTGCTGTTATGCATTCCTTTTATTTTACCATATATTGATTCTTTTTAATTTTTTCTGTTTTCACTTATTTGGGTGTGTTTGTTTGGTGTATGGCTGTGTTTTGTTACCAATTTTTCCCATATTTTATCATTTGATTGATTACGGATTTATACAATTTTTATTCTTTCTTTTTCTTAATTAATTTACATATCTATCTATTCATCTCTTCATAATTATTCACTTGTATATCAAATTCTCTATCTTCATCAGTCAGTGGTGTTTCCGTCCCGGCAATTTTGTGCGCATTTATCTGGTTAATTATCTATTTCGTTTTTTGTGTCCTGTGCTGTTTTTTGGTCCAGGAGGTGGTAAGCGAGGAGGACCTGACAGTCTTTCGTTGTTCCCCCAGTCTCTTCGTGTTTAGTTTTTTCTTCTCTGAGGTATTTTTGTTTGTCGTCTTTGTGTCGTCGTCCGCACACTTTATTTTTTTTATGTGTTTATTTTATCTCTTCGAAACAGGTTTTCGTTCTCTTTTTTTTCTCTTTCTTTCTTTTTGGTTGTTTGAAATTTTGTATTGTGCATGTTGAGTTTGCCGATTTCTCTTTTCTCAGCTGGTTGCCTTGTTAGGTTGTGTTGTGTGTGTCTGGTGTGTGTTGTGGTGTGTGGGTGTGTTGTGTTGTTTTTTTTTTTCTTTTTTTTTTTTTTTTTTGCTTTTTTTTTTTACGGCTCTGGGGGAAGAGCGCGGGAGGCGAGGGTGGGTTATTGGGATCGAGGAGGTGGTGGGGAGGGAGGAGGAAAGTGGAGGTAGGGAGGGGGTGGAAGGGCGGTGAGGGGGAGGGGTGAAGGAAAGTTGGTGGTGGAGAGAAGTAGGGGAAGGGGGAGGGGTTGATGGGGGAGGGGGAGGGGATGTGGTGGAGTAGTAGGGGGAGGAGGAGAAGAAAAAGAAAGGAAGGGGGAAGAAGGAGGAGAAGGAGAAGGACAAAGAGAAGGAGGATAAGGAAGAGGAGAAGGGAAAAGAGCAGGAGAAGGAGAAAGAGAAGGAAAAGGATAAAGCGGAGAGGGAGGAGAAAAGGAGAAGGAAATAGAGAAGAAGGAGTAGGAGAAAGAGGAGACGAAGGAGCAGCAGCAGTAGCAGTAAGAATAGTAAAATTTTGATAGTAGCAATAATAAGAAATTATTGCCATATTACATTGTCATTTCATCATTGTCAATATCATCATAACTACAATATTTGCATGAAGTGGTGCGCGCGTGGGTTTGCAGCGTTTGCATGTACGTGCACATGAGAGCATGCGTGTGCGTGCAAGGTCTATATAAGTACTTATATAGACCTTGTGTGCATGTACATAAACGTGAGCGTGCTTATACGTCTGTGTGTGTGTGCGTGCGTGTATATGTACGTGTACGTGTATGTACATGTGCATTCGTGAGCGTGTGTGCGTACCACTCTCCCGCACCTTGCTTCTTCTGGCAGAGGAAGTGGTAGTCCTCGGTGAGCCTCTCCACCACCCACTTGCCGTCCTTCTGCTCGTGGTTCACCACCGCCGCGCCGAAGCCGTCCAGGGATCTGGTAAGGGCGGGGGAATTTTATTTTTTCTCTTTATCGCCATTAATATTGTTATTGCTGTTGTTGTTGTCGCTCTTGTTGTTGTTGATGCTGTTGTTATTACCATTGTTATTATTATAATTGTTATTGTTATTATGATCATCATCAGTATCATTGTCATTATCATTATTGTTGTTATCTGGAGTTGCAGTTATTATTATCATTCTTATTATTGTTATGATTATCATTACTACTATTATTATCATTATCATTATTGTTATCATCATTATCATCATTCTTATTATTACCATTATCATTATCATCATCATCATTGTTATTATTGTTAGGATTATCATTATCATTGACTTTAATGGCCTTTTCTTCCAATTTTGTCCTAATTTTTATGTGAACATGAAAGTTACCTTGGTTTTACATGTGATCGTATTTGTATTATTAAGTACAGTTAATGGTAAATCATCATACTTATATCTTGAACACAACATACACTATATCAAAATATTCACGCATGAAATCAGTCAAATATTCACTTTCTCCCTGCAATTCAGTTCAAATATTTCTACTAGAAAAAGAAAGGTTTAATAAAATAGTCATTGGGAAACTGCTGCATTCGAGAATGCAAAAATAGTACTGTTGTTAGAACAAAGTATTTAATCAAAGATTTATAAACGCGACAATTACATTAAAAATCAGCCTATGATTGTGCGAAACTGAATTTAATTCTTTCTCATATCATAGTCTCCTGTGACGTACTCATTTTATTATTTATCTGTTTATTTACATTTTTAAAGGGGTGACCATATACTTCGAGTGTCCCCACAGATAAGCTGATTTGGCAATCCCAGTTGCTAAGTGCGTCTACTTTCCTTTATAAAACTAAGAGTATATCTTATCTGGCTATGTCTTACCTCCAACCCTAAGACAATCGAAAGAGTATTATCTAAGCTTTTAAGTTTTTATATTAGGTTTTCATTGCCATTAGGTTACCAAATATTTACGGTTGTAGAATGCATCACAAAAATCCCTCACAAAATCAATATCTAGTCGTTTTCATGATTCCCAGAACTGTTCTAGTGAAACAAAATTGATTGACGATGATTTATTGGAAATGTCGAAGCTTTGTAGAAATATATATTTTTTTTTCAGCTTTTGATTTTGTTGTTGTTATTGTTATCGTTAAAGCACAATGTATTAAACGAGTGTAAGCTAATCTATATATACTTCATTATACACTATAAACAAAAAAAATCATACACATAAAACTACATATAATAATACATTCTACTTTGCATAATACGTCTTGCTATCAAATATTAATTACAATACATTTCAACACGTTCTATAAATAACCAACTTCATTTTTCTCGCTCGATTGCACCAAAATTATTTATTAATTCAAAATTCGAGTTTATTTCAATTCCGCCAAAAAATAAACAAATAAATAAATAAACTAATTAATTAATAAAATAAAAATAAAAAGAATGCTAGATATATCCAGGCTTTGATTTTGTACTTCAAAATTACCAGCATAAAAATAAACATTCAAACTATTTATGAATATATGAAAATACAATATAATATGTGAAAAAATGGGAAAACATATCTACGCCACATAATTCAAACCAAAAACTCAAAAATGCATATCCTAAAAATACAAACACACAGAGAAAAAAAAAATAAATGCAACACACTGAAAAGATAGATAACAAAACTAAAGAAAAGGATGATAAATAGATAGATAAATAAAATAAATACTTACTCCGGCTGGTCTTCGTCCCAGTGGGTATAGTTGAGGGCGCTGCCGTCGCTCCAGCTCCATTCTCCCGGGTGATCCTGAGGGGATACGAGATTATTTGTATTTTTTTTTTCTTACTTTCTTTCCTGTTTGCTTGCTTTTTCATGTTATTTTTTATTGTTCTTCGGAATTACTTGCTTTCTATCTTTCTTGTTATCTTTTCTTCTTCTTTATTAATATTATTATTATCATCATCTACTTTTATTTCTTTTTGTTTTCTATTCCTTCTCACTGTTCTCTTGCACTTTGCCATCTTCTTTTACAGATAAGAGGTTATATTTTTTTACTTTTTCTGTCTTTCTTATTTTATTTTATTGTTCTTGGGAATTTTTTGTTGTTTTTTAGCCTTCTTATTTTTTTAAAATTCTTTATCCGTATAATTTTTTTTCTTTTTGTTGCTCTATATTTGCTTATTTATTATCCTTTACCAAATATTTTTTTCGTCTTTATCAGTCATTATTATTATTATCATTATCCATTTCTTTTTTGTATTTTTCTTCAGATTTTTATTATTATTATTATTATTATTATTATTATTATTATTATTATTATTATTATTATTATTATTATTATTATTATTATTATTATTTAACTTTTTTTTTCTTATTCTTTCCTTTGCTCTCTTGTACTCTGCCATCTTTTTATGGATAGATCTTGTCTTCAAATACAAATTTAAATACTATATGAACTAATTTATGTGTTGCCAAAAAAATACGAATTTGCACCTTGAACCGTCTATGTATATGTATACACGCATACACACACACAACACACACACACACACACATAAATATAATATATATATATATATATATATATAATATATATACTCTCAGTAAAATAATTGATCATTAATAATATGAAATTGTAAATATGTTAAAAGCGGATCACTTAAGGGTTGCCAATAGATCAAAATGGTCCTCTAAAGTTGATTTGTCATCCCTGATGTGTGATTATCTTCATCTGTCTTTGGGCAAATTTGTCTAAGACTCCCACGAAAATGTCTTTAACAAGCAGTGTTCGTGTGTGGCTCGGCCGGAGTTTTAGAACAGGTGTGGAAGTGTCCCGCGTAAGGATTGTCTTTAGAACCACAATGCAAATTTACAGAAACCTGAATATCTTTCTAAATCAAAAATAATAGAGAAAAAACTTGTAAGCCTCCCTTGGCATATTTTTAACGCAATTTAGTAGTTTTACAAATACTTTGTTTACATCCATAAGGTATGTCTTTAATTTGTCCTTATACAATTTTTCCTTTATTGAAGATTATTCCGCTTTGGAAATAAAAAGAAAAGCTTCGAGGCCTCTATTGATAAATTATTAAATGTTAATTGAACCGTCTCCTATATTTTATTGCTATGTAGAAAATAATGATAGCGGCACACACCTTTAAAACTGATGCAGTGACAATAAATATTGGGTGCCACACCACATTCAGATACACTAAATGTGTAATATTAACGTCATGATATAAGTGAAATTTATTGCCATATTTCCCTTATCATAACATTACAATAGATTTTCAAAATAGGGTCTTCAACGATTTACATGTGTTTTGTTATCAGTATTAACTTTGAGATGTGACAAAAGCGCAAATTATAATCAAAATCGTAACAGTCATAGACCTTTCGTGAATACCACCCCTGCCTCCTGGTCAGTGAAATCATATTAACACCCAAACAAATATTTCATCGTGCAACAGCTGCATATCATCGACATTATGGCATGTGTGTGTGTGTGTGTAAATATATATAAACACAAAGATACTATTGAGTATTCTGTGTATATATATATATATATATATATATATATATATATATATATATATATATATATATATATACATAAACTATCCTAGCCATAATGCAAAAATTAACTCATACACACAAATACAAATGCACACACGTACACACACTCAACTACAAATACAGTACATCTTACATTAAATAACAAACTATCACATACAGCCTAAAAAATACACGTATAAAAAAAAAACATATATAAACATACACTACACAAAAATATACATATATACAAAAACCAACATATTTAAACACAAACACCACTGCAAAAAATAAATTTTAGCCCTACACCTTGAGAAAAGAATAATAAGTAAACACATTAACAAAAACACACACCACGCATACTACACCTACACCATAGAAAGACAGACAAACAAACAAAAACATCTACAAAAACACCACACCCAAAAACAAACACTCACATACCCTGACAGAAATTAATGACAAAACACGTAAAAAGATGTATAATAAAATAATGAAAATAAAAAAGCAAACATACACCTTTTAAAAAACGAACAAAAACACATGCCCACACCCACCACACCCACCCACCCCTACACACACTCCACCCAGCCCCACCTACTCACCTCCTCACTCAACCCAATCCAAATATTGTCGTGTACTTCGAGGGCAAAGTCCGTGGCGAACTGCTGGTCGAGGCTGCCTGAGATGGTGATGAGGTCAGCCCCGTCCACCCTGCACTGGACCCGCCCGTTGTGCCAAGGTTCGGGCGCGCTGGATTTCTGCAGGGAAGAAAAAATGGTGGGTGGGTGTGGGATAGATTTTTTAAATATATATTTGTTTATTTATTGGTCTGTCTATTAGCTAATTCATTTTTTGTATTCATTAATCTATTTATACATTTGTATATCTATTCACTAGTTAATTAATCTATCGATTTATTTGTTTATTCATTTATTTATCTATTTATCTACTTATTCATTTGTTTATTTGCTTGTTCCTGTCTGTTGTGTGTGTTTTCTTCCATGGTTCCTATTTCTAACTATCGTTTTCTATCTGTTTTCTCGGCATTCTCTAACTTTGTCGTCTCTCCCTCATTCAGTCTCTGTCTCTTTAATCTTTCACGTGCTCTGTCTCTATCTTTCACTTCTCTGTCGCTTTCTATCTTACTCTCTCTCTCTCNTTAACTTTAGTACCTCTTTGACTCTCTGTTTGTTTTTTGATTTCTTGTTATATATATATCTCATATTAATATTGACCATTTTGTGGTTTTATTATTTACCCGTAATTTCTTATGTGTGTCATGTTCGTGTGTGTCGAATCGTCTAATATATTTTCATATAGATGATTTTAATTATTTCACGTCTTTTAATTGATTGTGTAGATTGTCTAATATATTTTCATGTAGATAATTTTTTTTTCATGTCTTTTAATTAATTGTGTAGATTGTCTAATATATTTTCAGTAGATATAATTTTATTTTTTCACGTGTTTTAATTAATTGTGCAGATTGTCTATGTTTTCATATGGATAATTTTGATTTATTCATGTCTTTTCATGAATTGTGTAAATTGTCTAATATATTTTCATACACATAATCTTAATTTTTTCACGGTTTTAATTGTATAGATTGGCTAATATATTTTCAAATATATAATTTTTTTCACGTCTTTTAATTAATTGTGAAGGTCGAAATGACACTTGATGTAAAAAAAAAAAAAAAAAAAAAAAGTCATGGAGGTAATTTTTTTTGACACGATGTAAAAAAAAGAAAAAAAAATCATGGAGGTGATTTTTTTGTATGACATCGTACAGGTCATTGGATGTTATATTAGTCTTTTTTGCTGCGGGCGGTTTTAGGGGATTTCAACGCGGGTGCAAGTCATGATCTTATGTAAGGGGAGTTCCGTACTGCTTTGGAGTCAGACAGACACAAAATATTCTCCGTCGAACTAAAGCTACGAAGTCGATGGAATATCAGTCTCTAAAATAGTGGAATAACAATAAAAACAACAATAACAACGAGACAGTAACAATAATAACAACAAGACAATAATAACAACAATAACAAGACAATAGCAACAACAATAACAACAAGATAGTACAACACAATACAAGATGACAGTAACAAGAACAACAAGAACAACAAGAACATAACAACAACAACAAACTATAACAATAACAAAACTACATACAATAAAAACAATACATAGTCGGCAGAGGAGGAATAACCAAACACGAAATAATTATCATCAAAATTAACATTCCAAGAAAACAAAAGCAACAACAAACCAACAACAACAAAAATAATCCATGATTGTTAATAATAATAATGATAATACCCCCTCCCCCGCCCCCCATTCGCGCGGGAGAGGAGGTCCAGCATTCAAATTTCCCGCCACTGGCCATCCCGGTCCCAAGGTCTCCGAGACGAGATTCAGCCGACCCTGCCCTTGCTCAATGCCGTCCCCCGATTACTCACTTTCAAAATCTTTCTAACGGCGCTCCTATTGATAGATTATTTGAGGATTATTTTAGTGATTGGGTTTGTGTTCTTGGTGGAGGGGTTGTGATTTTATTTGGGGGGATTAGCGGGGTGTAGGTGTGAGGGTTCGTATTATCGGGGTTTCGGTTATCCTGGACGAGAGAGGCGGGACCGCGCGGCAGTTGAGGCGGTGGATAACGAACTAAAATATTGCAAGAGGGTGAATTATTTTGATTCTTTGGGCGATTTCTGCGTGTTGTGGATTACTGTTGTGAATTTATTTTTGTAATGCGATAATTGCTTATTCGTGTTGTATCCTGAATTGAAGGTTAATATTCGTTTTATTTAGGCATGTAGGAAAAGATAACGAGAGGGATGCGAGGAATAAAATTGATGTTTATTTGTCTGTCAAAAGTTCCCTTTTTTATATGATTTCGTATAGATGTGTTTTTTGTGAGATTGATAAAAGAAAATAAATATGTAGAAAGGTTTATCCTAAAGTACCGACCTCTGGACATTTTGACTTTTGGCATTAATTCAAGTATCAACTTAACATTCCTGTCCCGTCCCGTTACCCCCTTCTGTCTGACGGGAGTGGCATTCGATGGTTTATGGGCGGAAGGTAAATACCCTTGCCCCCCATACCTTCCTCCCTATGACCCTTCCCCTCCCCTTCTTCCCTCATACCCTCCCCCTATGACCCTTCTCCCCCTCCCTCCCACTATACCCCCCCATCCATGACCTCCCCTCCCTCCATACTCCCCCTTCTCCTCCCTCCCCCTCCATACACTCTCCCCCCGACCTTCTCTTCCCCCTCCTTTCCCTCCCCCCATACCCTTCTCCCCTTTCCCCCCCTCCCCCCCCCTCCCTCCCTCCTCCTCCATACCCTCCCCCATACCCCCCCCCCCCTCCTCCTTCCCTCAAGTGCCACTCAAATCTGGATATAACCTTTGCGACGACGCCCATACCCATATGTCATCGATCTCCGCCCACGAGCACGCCCATCTCATATGGGTTTTAGGCGGCAATTTCTCTTTGTGGGTCTTAGTTCTTAATTTTCCCGTTTTTTTTTTTTTTTTTTTTTTTTTTTTTTTTTCAAATATTCATAACTGAATGCATTGCGGAAGAAAATTGTTGTATTAGTGTTTTTTCTTTCGTTTTTTTTTCTTTCTATCTCATCCCAACATATTTTTCTCATCTCAGTATATCTTTTTTTCTTTTTTTTTTTTATGTGTTTTTTTGTTGTTTATTTCATCTTTATATATCATATCGGTTTCTCTCTTTAAATTCTTTCTTTTATTCATGCCTTTATTTGTTTTTTATGTTTTATTTTATTTTCTCTCAATGGGCTATCTCATGTTTTTTTCGTAATATCGTTTATTGTTTTTTTCACTATGCCAGTTATTCTCTTTTCTCTCTTTTACATTTCCGTGTTCGCTTTTCTCTTCTTCCAATCTCAGTGGTTTTAATTTTTTTTTTCTTTTTTTCCTTCATCATTTGTTCTTTCCTTTTATTTCTTTACGTTTTGATGGTTCTATTTTCTCTTTTCTTAATGTCAGTGTCTCAGATTTATCTTTATTTATTATGTCATTTCGCTTTCCCTTTTTTTACATTTCTTTGATTCTCTCTTTTTTAGATTACTTGTCTCTTGTTTTTTCAATCTCATTGTTATCTTTTTTTTCTTTCTTATCTTGTTTTATCTCTTATCTCCTTATTCGTTTTTCATCACGTTATATTTCTTATCTCTTTTTCTCGTGTCTTTCTCTTTCTTATCTCTTTTTCTTTTCTCGTTTCATTCGCTTTCTTATCTCTTCTTCTTTTCTCATTTCATTATCTTTCTTGTCTCTTATCTTCTTTTTTCTTTTCATTATCTCTGTCTTCTCCGCTCTTCTTTTATTCATCTCATTATATCCATCTCCTTTTTTCATCTCACTATCTCTCTCTATCTCCTTTCTCATCTCGTAATCGCTCCTATCTCTCCCATCCCTTTCTTTCTAATCTCATTATCGCTCCTATCTCCATTATCCCTTCCTTTCTCATATCGTTATCGCTCCTATCTCTCCCCCCTTTCTCATCTCATTATCTCTCTCTTTTCCATTCTTCCTTTCTCATCTCATTATCGCTCCTATCTCTCCCCCCTTTTCACATTTCATTATCGCTCTATCTTTCCTCCCTTCTTTCTCATCTCATTATCTCTCTCTTTTCCATTCATCTCATTATCTCTCTTATCCGCTCATTATCGCTCCTATCTCTCTATCCTTCCTTCTCTTCATTATCTCTCTCTTCATTCTTCCTTTCTCATCTCATTATCGCTCCTATCTCTCTCCCTTTTCATTTCTCTCTCTTTCTTCTTCCTTTCTCATCTCATTATCGCTCCTATCTCTCTCCTTTTCTCTTCTCATTTTCTCTCTATTTCTCATCTCATCGCTCCTATCTCTCTCCCCTTTCTCTTCTCATTATCTCTCTCTTTTCCATTCTTCCTTTCTCATCTCATTATCGCTCCTATCTCTCCCCCCTTTTCACATCTCATTATCACTCTATCTTTAACCCTCTTTTCACATCTCATTATCGCTCTATCTTTCCTCCCTTTTCCCTTCTCATCATCTCTCCCATTTCCATTCCTTTTTCCATCTCATTATCGCTCCTCTCTCCCTCCCTTTTTCACATCTCATTATCGCTCTATCCCCCCTTTTCTCTTCTCATTTTCTCCCTTTCCATTCCATCTCATTATCTCCTATCTCTCTCCCCTTTCTCTTTCATTTTCTCCATTTCCATTTTTTTTTCGCTCCTATCTCTCTCCCCTTTTCTATTCTCATTTTCTCCCTTTTCTCAGTTGAGTCACCGACCCGACCTACTCATCCATCTCGGAGTGGAATGCGCCTCCTCATTCACTCTGGCGACCTACTCCTTTATTCATGAGTACGAGAGCTGTCTGAGACTCATTTTAACCATTTTGGTCCCGGTCCGGGATTTTTTACTCATTTTTTTCGGGTCGGTTAAGGAAGCTCGTTATTTCCTCATTTTTTCTCATTTTTTTTGTTTGTATGAGTCGCGTGGGATTCGTTTTACTCATTTTACTCATTTTTCCACGGGTTGGTTAAGGAAGCTCGTTACTTCCTCATTTTCTCTTTTTTTCTCATTTTGTATGAGAGCCGAAGACTCATTTTACTCATTTTTTCCACGGGTCGGTTAAGGAAGCTCGTTACTTCCTCATTTTTCTCATTTTTTGTTGTCTTCTTTTTGTGTGAGAGTGATTTCATTTTACTCATTTTTTCCTCGGTCGGTTAGGAAAG